TGGGAGAGATGGGAGATCATGGAATGGTTTGGGATGGAAGGAACCTTAAAGACCATCCAGTTCCAACCCCAACACATTCCACTCTTCCAGGTTGCTCCATCCTGGCCTTGGACACTTCCAGGGATCCAGGGGCAGCCACAGCTTCTCTGGGCAACCTGGGCCAGGGCCTCCCCACCCTCCCAGCCAGGAATTCCTTCCTAATCACCTCCCTCACAGTAAAGAATCCAATAAGCCAGATCTGTACAGCTGTGGTGTTACGCAGAATCATTATTTCAATTATTTAAACCATTACATAAATATTGTGTATGAATGTTCATCCCTCCCTTTTTTTCCTTCTCTTTTCTCAGGGGTTTGGAGGACAGCTCTGCACCAGCCCTTATCTGCCAACTCCAGAAGAACCAGTGGAGAATTATTCTATAATTGACTCTATGATCACATACGAAGGAAATCAGATCGATTGCAAAGACTACAAACATTCCAAACAGAGCAGTCGGGACTCAGGGAATTACTCCAACGATGACAACACGTCAGGGAGCAAAGGCTCGGCAGAAACTCTGGGAAAGGAAATAGTATAACTGAGGAAAATAAAATTAGTCTGTGGGGCTGGCACTTTGATAAAACCTCTTCGTGATGGGAGTCACAGCCTGAGGAAGACACTGTGACTTCTGGACTCGTTGCCTTTGGGTTTCCAGACGTGCACTTGGTTGGTTGGTTGGAGATCCCCACGAGCCACGCCATGGACTCGTCGTTCCTTGCACTGACGTGTCACCACGTGGGGAAACATCGACCTTCTGCCTGAGGAGGGGCAGATCTGGACACTCTCTGTACTTGAAGATGATGATCAGCAGAGCCCTCGTGTCCCACAGGAGGGTTTGTCTCTCTCTCTCTCTCTCTCTCTCTCTCTCTCTCTCTCAGAGGGTTGTGCTGGGCCGTCGCCGTCGCTCCCGGCGTTGGCTCTCCCAATGTTTACACAGGCAGGAGGAAATCCATGCTGGATACAATCCTAAGGACTTCTTGGACATTCCCTTCCAGCCCCTCAGGGGCAGTGCTTGTTGGTTCAGCAGGTCCAGAACGAAGGGCCAAGAGACCAAGAGTCGCGTCAGTGAGGGGCTTCTGAGGCTCCGTGTGGAATTCCCACTTCCTTGTTCATGTATCCTGCTCCCCATTCCTGAAGTGCCCAGGGCCAGGTGGGATGTTGCTCTGAGCACCCTGGGCTAGTGGAAGGTGTCCCAGCCCATGGCAGGAGGTGGCACTGGATGGGCTTTAAGGTCCCTCCCAGCCCAGGCCAGTCTGGGATTCCATGATTCCCCGTGTGCTTCTCCCATGCACGGTCCCCCGGGCAGGGATAGGGATGGGAAGAGTCAGAGAGGAGCTTCCCTGGGCTATAATGGGAAATGTCCTGGCAGAATCTCTTTGATGGCTCCAGTTGTTTTGCATTCAGGATAAAAGCCCCAGCAAAGGTGCAGGGCCGTGCTGGGCAGGAGCTCCCGGTGTGGGGCTGCAGGTGAGGAGGCACAGGGGGAGGCACAGTCCTGATTTATGTATCCCCCCCCCATTCCTACATAACCAAAAGTGCAAAATATTTACTGCCAAATGGATTTCATTCAGAAACAAAAATCTCCTAAAAAGGATGTAACTTATTTCTGTGATCAGAAGGAGCCAAGCTGAATTTAGAAAATGCCTTTTAAGGGTGATGAGGGTGTTTGTCACTCAGAGCTTTTCCAGCTCTGTCTTGTCTTGCCAACAGACTTTTTTGGGTACAAATGATCGGGATGTGCTCCAATAACATTTCAATTTACATACCACTGTCTGCTGGAGTTGATTTTTTTAAGTAGCTTATTTTTTTATGAAGAAATTGCTTTGGATTGAACTGAGTTTGAGCATCATGTGGACTTTTGTTTATTCTGACAAGGAATTCTTTGTGTTTATATATCTTTTTTTTTTAATTTTGAAGATGTTGCCTAACTTTATAAATTTAATGTCCTTGTGTTCATTGAAGGACATAATAAATTTTGCACATTTCTTTCTTTATCCCTTTCTTGGTTCCTTGTATTTTTGACGAAGCTGCGCCGTGGAAGTTCCCAGGAGTCCTCAGTTGTCCTTCCTGAAAAACCCAACGTGAAGGATATCATAGAATGTCATATTATAGGATATAATAGAACATGATGTCACAGAATATCATATTATAGAAATCAATGTTGGGAGTGTTGCATGATTTGGACAAATTCTATTTAATGTGGAGGGTTTCACTGTCAGATTTCAAAGCAAAGCAACCAAAAGTTTCTGAAACAGGCAGAATAATTTCCAGGCAGTGCACGTTTTTTTGGGGAACGTAGAACCAAAGAGATGCTAATGAATATATATATTTATGCTCTGAAGTTTGGTAATGAGAGGAGTTACAGAAAATCTTGTGTCAGCTCCTTTAGTGTTGCCAGAAGCAGCAAAAGCAGAGCTGTAAGGTGGAGACAACATCTGATTGATAAAACATCTGACACTTGAACTGGAAAATTCTGTTCCTGAACACCTGAGGCAACTTCCTTCTGATTTGTCTCAGATGAATCCAGGAATACTTGGGAAAGAACTTGAAATGTTACAGTTCACTCCACTTTGTTGTGGTGCAAAAAGGAACTTGGTGTCCATGGGTTTTGTTCAATTCCCAAAGTCCTCCTGAAAATGCAGCCCTGGGAGGGGTTTTCTTCTTCCTCGTTCAAAACATTCCCAACAGGAGGAGCTTGGAGGTCTTTTCCAGCCCGAGTGATTCTGGGATTCTCTTCCTGAGTTTGTGCAGTGGGGTGAGATCCAGCCCTGCCCAACTGAACCCTTTCAGCTGGACCATGTGGAGCTGGGTTTGTCCTGAGGGTGGAATCACAAGCAGGGTCACCAAAGTCCATGTTTTTAAAGCCAACCCTTCCCCCTGTTGGTTCTGTGGGATAGTTGTGATCCAGCTGCAGCCTCAGTGGGGGAGGAGGCAGAAATTCCCCATCCTGGGATTGGGAGCTGAAAGGAAACAACATCTGGGAATCATTTTCCACGTTTGGTCCCAGATTCTGTGACTTTCCCATGACTCCTGCTTTTGGAATGGGTTTTGTTACTGGGTTTTATTGGGGTTTATTTATTTATTTGTAATTTATTGGGAGGGTATTTATAATTTATTAAGGTTTATTTATGGTCTATTGTGGTTTGTTTGTTTATAATTTATTAGAGGTTATTTATGTAGTTATTTTCTAGTAGGTTTTATTATTTCAGGCTCATCTACTTGATGAGTAAGAACACACAGATAAATCCATAGTAGAGAACCCCCGGGTGGTAAATCCATGTGGGCTGTTGGATCATTTTCCTGGGGATGCTTTGCTGAAGGATAATTGTGCAGAGAATGTGACTGTGCTTTGCACTGACATGGTGTATTTGTATCTATTTATCTTCTCATCTTAAAATTATATTTTAAATTTTGTTTATTATACTATTTATATATTATTGATATAATATTTCTAAATATATTTCTAATTGCATATAACTATATTGAATATTATAACTGATAATATTTATATATCATGTAATTTATTATTAAATTTATATATTTATTATTAATATATAACATTTGTTATATATTATGTGATCATAATATATAATTATATATATTACTTAATGTTATGTATATTTTAAATGTTATACTAATATATATTTTAGATAAAATATATAAATATATTAATATATTTTATATAATATATATATAAATATATTATATATAACAGCAAAGCACTGCAGGGATATTCTTTAAGAATCCCAAGGCACCAGAAGAGCCACTTTTTGACAAATGGGATTATTTGTCATTGCTGCCTGTGACAGATAATCCAAACTTCTTGGAAACTTGCTGGAGTGATGGATCATTTCAGGTAAATTTCTAGGAATGTGAGCAGGACTCCCTGCAGCTCTTCCAGCCAGAGTTCCCTTTGAGCAGTGATGGCCTTGGGAAATTCTTGTTTTCACCACAGGTGGTATTTCCAGTCTTATTTTCCACGGAGGCAAAAGAACCCCACAGCCCTTAAAGCTGTCCCTGATAACTGATATCCCACTGAAAAACCCACCTGCACTGTGGGCTCTCGGGACAAATCACTTCCTTCAGGTTCTCGGAAAATACTTTGGCAAACTTGTAAAATTTGTGTCTCGGTTTTACAACGGAATCCCAAAGGTGTTGGAGTCACTGGACAGCAGCTCTTGGCTTGTTTGCCCCGGAACCAGCTGGAATATCAGGAAATCCTGATTTGACAGAAGGAGGTGCAGTTCAGGGGAGTTTGCTCAGGGCTGCTGAACCATCTCATGGCTGTCAGGAAGCGCCAAATGACCGTCATTAGGAATTGCCCCCAGTAAGAGCAGCACACGGTGTGCTCCATGTGCTGGGGAACCAAAGGAACTCGTGCCTGAGCAGGGTTTCCTCCTGCACTCACCAAGCTCGGAAAGTCCTGGGCTTTTAACTCGGTTCCTCTTTCCTGCAGTTTCCAGCATCCCAGAAACAGCCTCGGAATTGTCCCAAATCCAGACCCGTTGTCTGGGTGATGCCCTTTCCCTAAGGCAGCCAAAGCAAAGCATATTCTGAACAAAAATGGTGTCAGGGGCAGCTTTTTTAGCTTTTCAGAGCTGCCTTCCCTCTCCTTCCCTGAGGGATTCCTTTCCATCCAGGGGTGGTCTCCAGCCCCGGGAAGGGGAGGGGGTTCCCCTGCCCAGCAGCTCTGGCGGTACCTGATGCCTTGAGCTCCCTCTGCTGACCTCGGAACAGCAAATTAAGAACCAGCTCCATCAAAGTCTCTTAAAAAGAGACTGATTTCAAATTTAAATACCCAAACTAGGCAGGAATTTTGTGCCCCAATCCTTAGATTCTTGCCTGTATTCCATACCT